GCATCCGACTTCACCATCATCAACTAATATAGAATTTTAAATCAATATACTTCCAAGGTATTTATTATTCATGTGACAGCGGGATTTCCTAATTTATTCAATATACTTTCTCAAGTTATACCAAACCTATCTTCACCTATTAACCCACTATATCTCTATGTGAATTTAAATAGATAAAGACACATTATGTTCTATGAAATTCCCTAGTTTACGTAGAAAATTAAGTCCACTTATCACTAATGCTGCACAAATCACGTTGGTCCATCTCTGGCTTTCGTTCAATTCATGGTATATATTACTAAAAGCTATTGCATAAAATTTCCTCTCGGTCTCAATTATGCTCTTAAAATTAGTTTTAATGGTGGCCAATCATCAAAAAGCATTAAGAACAATAATATATACTCAACATGAAATAATAACCCTTGAAAATATAAAAATCATGAAATTCTATATTAAATTGATTAGGCTACATCGTAGCCTTAGATGGCAAAATTAGTTCATACTAAACATGATAAAATCTGAGTTTAAATTGATGAACCACAATTCCATATCCAAACAAAGGAAAAAATAAGTTTAGAAGAGCAAAAACCCAATTTGTGAAACTCAGATCTGGAGCCCTTCACTGTCGCGCTTGTCCCCTTTGTTTTCGATTGAGGTGTCCCAGTGGCTGCCTTTGCGTCTGCCGTTACTCACACAGAATCTGCGCAAGCTCTGCCTCAAACTCGCCTCAAAGCTCTCTGCCGGCTGCCTCTTTGATTTCTCTCGGAAGTCTCTTTGATTTCTGCTGTCACCTCTCTACCCCCAAGTCTCCAGCGGCTGCCTCTGCCGGCTGCCTCTTTGATTTCTCTCGGAAGTCTCTTTGATTTCTGCTGTCACCTCTCTACCCCCAAGTCTCCAGCGGCTGCCCCTTTTTATATTCCATAATGTGCCTCTTCGTGCCCTTCTTTTCTTTTAAGCCCATCTTATCTCCACAATGAGATAAAGCCCACCATGTTTTTCCATGTGTATGCAGAAGACAAATTCAATTCTGGTCTTTGAAATGGGGAAATCATGGAATCAGACTTGATGTTTTCAACTTTTGTCACTTCAGCCCATTTACTCTCAATTTCTTTAGTTTTACCCTCTACCTACAAAGAATGATAAAAGCAATGTAAAAC